GGATGCTGGATATTGTCAAAAGTTTTTTCTGCATCAATTGAGAGGTTCAGATGGTCTTTAAGAAATCAGCTGTTAATCTGATGGGTATACCCTTATGCATCAGATGTTGCTTCTGCCTGGAAGCTTATAGAATTTTCTCTTTCAGCTCAGCACCTATAGATCAGTGGCTAGGGCACCAGACACATATACCAGAGCTGGTGAATCCAGCCCAGGCCTGCTAAACAACAATGACAACTGCACCAAAAAAATAGCCAGGCATTGTGGTGGGCACCTGTAGTCCCAGCTACTTGTAAGGCTGAGGCAAGAGAATCACTTAACCCAAGAGTTTGAGGTTGCTGTGAGCTATGACACCACAGCACTCCACCCAGGGTGACAGCTTGAGATTCTGTCTCAAAAAAAAAAAATAAAGAATTTTCTCTTTCATTTTGGGTGTGGCCAGCCTATTACATTGGGTCTAGGACATGCTTTGTTTGAATTGAGTTGTCTCAGATTCCAATGGAATCTGACAATGCCTGGGAAATTTCAACTATAATACCTTCAACTAGAGCTTCCATGCTCTGGGGACTTTCTTCTCCTTCAGAGATACTCATGATTCACATGTTTGTATGTTTTGCATAGTCCCACATCTCTCTAAGATATTCCTCTGTTTTTGGTCTCTTCTTTTCTGCATGTTTAAAGGATTAGGTAAGCTCAAAAGTCTTATCTTCTAGTTTGGAGATTCTTTCTTCTCCATGGTTTAATCTGATATTAAAACTCTCTACCGTGTTCTGAAACTCCCTGAAGACCGCTTTCAATTCTTTAAGCTCCATTTTATCCTTTCTAATTATGTCCAGATCCTGGTGACTCCATCTTTATTTTCATTGATTTCTTGAGACAATTTTTAGACTTTTTTTTTTTTTGCTGGTTTTCAATTTTGTGTTCAATTCCATCCATCTTATTTGCCATCAAATTCTGAACTCATCTTTGTTGTTTCAACAATTTATGGAATTTTCTGCAGTAGCTCCATTGTGATCCCTTGGGGGATGATCTGTTCTAATTTTTCATGTTGCCAGAATTTTTTGCTGGTACCTCCTCATGTGTGTGGTTTCTTTTCTTTTTGGTCTTTTCTTTCTATTCTTCCATTTCCCTTCCTCCTCTTTACCTCTTCGCACCTTAACTCTAGGCTACTGAGTTGTTGACTCCATTCCTGGATTCTGATGTAGCCTGCCATCCTCAACAGAGATCTTTCAGTAACTGCAGGTCAAAAAGAGGACGGAAGCTGCAGCTGAGCTACTCATACCTACCAGAGGAATGGAGAAGGAGTGGTGAACACAGATGGAGCTCACAAGGGGGGTGCAAGCGATAAAAGCCCAGCCAGATGGTAGAAGACCCCTTCTCTTCTACTCTGTGACTAATTCTACAGTAACCCTGACACTGGGAAGACCCTGGCAGCAGTGGTGTCTCTCCACTGGGCTTCCTCTGCTCTCTACCACCTGTCCCCATGCCCCTTTCCCTCCTGGGCTCCATGGACTGCCTGGCATCCTTTCCTCAATTAAGCTCCCACTGTCACTTCGAGTCATCTTTTTAAAATCCAAATTTTCTATATGCTCTTCACCAATCTTTGGCTCAGAGCTTCTATTGGCATATTAAGAAAACAGTGCCATTAAAAATCTTACAACTCAGTTTAGTCTATGCACTGACTGCATCAGCATCTCTTGGGAGTTTGTTAGTCCTCACATCAGACCTACCAGCTCTCACACACTCTGCATTTTAATATGATTCCCAAGTGATTAATGTGCATAGTAAAATTTGAGAAACAGAGATCTGGTACAGAGTTTAGGAAGCATTTTGGTAAGGACTGCTAAGAGTGTCTATACCTCACCTTCTATCTTGTCTTTACTTAAACTCCTGTTTTTTTATCTGAGTCATATAAAACATGAAGGATTCATGTTTTCATTCATCCTGCCTTCTACTAAAGATACCAAGAGCTTCCTGCCAGCTGTTATGAATATAAACCCAGATGCCCACAGCATACTCTGTTACTCTCTTACCCTCAATTAGAGGACAACAGGTCAGGGCATCTTAGTTCAGCCTAGAGCTCATCTGTAACCCTGCTCCTCAGCCCTTGAGATAGGCATTCCCTCCTGGACACCCTTAGAAAGGTTGAAAGAGAGAGAACTAACAGTTGTTAAGCATCTATCATGTACCACGAACTATGCCAGATATTTTATATGTAGTACCTCTAGGCTCCCTAAACCATCTGCCTTTTCCCAGATTACTCTTCTGTCCTATAAACCCTACCTGCAGACTAGGAACTATTTATTACTTGATTCCTACCTGCCCCAAGTTTCTGGAAAGGTAAGTCCATACCTAACGTGCCTTGCTCTGCTCTGATGGAATTTTTAGAATGGCCCATCCTGAAACTTGTCTTTCCACACAGTTCTGGAAAATACCTATTGATTGACTCCTCTACACATAACATTCTCCTGAGATCTTAGTGTGGACATCAATTGACACTGCCTGCCTAGATCCCTATTCTTCTTTTCCTTTGTGGAAAAACCTTCTCCCCATTTGATGTAGTCTTGGTGGGCCTGTTAAAACAAAGAACACCTACGGGATATGGGATGTCAAGAATCCTCTTAGGCCCAACTTGAAACTGACTAGCCACTGTAGGTTCTTGAAAGCTGGCCTTCCTCCAAGGGAGAAATGTCATTTTGGCCTAATTTCCCTGAATTCTTCAATATTCCTATTCACTTCTTCCTTCTAGAAAGTTGTACACTAGCTATATAGGTTGACCTTATAAGGGTTATGATAGTAGCCAACAATAGAGAAGCCAAAGGTATTTACCTGGTCTACCAAATCAGAACTGATCATGCTCATGTTTGTAGATTCATTCCTATGTGCTCTCCAAATGGGGAGAAGGGGTTCCACTCTTCTCTCTCCTCTCTTTTTTCTATTCTCAGGGCAACGGGAAGTATCAAGTTCTCTATCATTCACCAATATCTCCTTACTCCCCCCACCGCACACATAAAGGGGCATTGGCAGATTTTCAGAATGGGATGAATTTCTCTAAAAAGGCTAAAAAATTATGAGGTTGAATGTCAGGATCCAGAGCATGCTGAGAAATACCTAGTTATTGGTACACAGAATCTCATAGCATTATTCTATTGGATGACCAGATTTTCAGAGTGGGGAAGTGGCTATATTCTTGTTTCTGAAGGATTCTACCAGCTCTCTAATTAACCTACCAGAAGATTACTATGGAGTGTCTCTTTCACTCACTTTTCTACTCTTTCTACCTCAGGGATCCAATGATTTGGGGCATCCTATTGAACATTAGTAGTTGTGGTTTACATTTTATTTCCCTTGCCAAAACAAAAATAGGCAATATGGTATGACTTGTATAGCCTGCCTTTCAGCATTTAATATACGCTTAACAATTGTTAGTTCTCTCTGCCAAAGATGTTCAGAAGGTACATTCCTAAACATAGCCATACTCAAGTAGCAGTCCCTCCTCATGGTGAAGTTAAGAGGAAAAAAAGAGAGTCACCTCATAACAGTATACTTAACAAAATAGCACTGCTCACATGGATGGACAATACAGTTGGAGAAAATGAATCCTGGGTCCTAACGCCCCTCAACATTCTAGACTCTGAGTGAGGATATGGGTTTCATCCCACAATTCCCCTTCCCCAAATATTTTAGGATTTCTCCCAAATACAGGCCTTCTGAGCAAGTCCTCATGTAGCTTACCTGAGCAGACCTACAGGTCTACATATATGTGTTCTCAGCGTAATAATCTGATAATGTAAAAAATCAGATGTAGAAAAGAAAGGAAATCAGACAGAACTTTCACTCTGAACCTGGAGTAATTTTTTTTTTTTTCAAAGAAGAACTTAAATCTACTTCCTCAGCAGCCATATGTAGGCCTGGTCTCAAGTTGCCTTTACTCCAAGATATTTATCTTTCTCCACAGATCACCTCCAGCTGCAAAATACCTCCCCAAAGGGCTTTGTAAACTGTGAAGTACGAAGGCATATTTGAGCAACTCTTGCTGAAGGCCTTGACTACACTTCTTTCATCTTCTAACTCAGACAAAATACTTAGAGAGAATGCCAAACCTCCAGGCATAGCCTTTCCCCTTTGTCAGTGTAGACAAGTGTGTCCAATTTTAATTAATGGCATTTCTTAAGAATGAAACCATCGTTCACTGTTGGTGCAACAATTTAAAAACAGCTATTTTAAGCTGCCCCCAGATAATCTGTCTGTTTTTTATAATCAGAGAAGACCCCATACCTCTCTCCTTTCTGGAAACTTTTATCTGATGGCACTAGATCTTGAATGACTCAATACCTTAAAAATAAGAAAAATCTTGTGCTTTTAATTTATGAATAAGTAAGAGATATTTTATATCTGGGCAATGGAGAAAGAGTTTTACAGCAATGGTAAATGCTGCAGATTCTATAATTGCCCATCTTTCAGGGGCTGAGGAAGGGAAGGGAGCTGCAATATTCCTAACTCCAGGCAGCAACTCACAATGGGTCTAAGGCTCTAAGCCAGTCATAAAACCGGCACCTTGATTTCCCAGTCAATCCTAGCCAATGAGATATAAGGGGGAAGACTGCTGGGGGACTTCTGGTATAGCGTTTGCTTTCCTATAAAAAGGAACAAATGTATCTGGTTCTACCTTTCTCCTGGCCTGGAACATGGCTATGATGCCTGAAGCCACAGCATCATGAGGAGGTAGGCAACCACAGAACTGAAGAATTCATGGCTGAGATAGAGATCCACTGCTATCTCCTGCTAGACTTTGTATTAAATAAGAAAAGTCAAGTCCTATTTAAGTCACTATATGCCAAGTTATCAAGGAATGCTAATGAATTCATTCCTGAATCCACCATCTGTGCTTCACTAACACATTTGCTGGATCTTGATCATACCAGCCATGACTCTAAAAGCATATCCTTCACACTATTGAGGGCACAGGGCAATTGTGATAGCTAGTGTTTCTAGTCACTTACCTCATTCCAAGGCCTAGAGCAGAAATTTCTCACCACCTCAGTCACCTTGTCCCGAGAGACTTTTGACGTCAAATTAAAAAAATTCATCACAAAGTAAAAAGCTGAAAATGCCTACAAGAGAAAATTACAGAGTTTTAGGCTGTGTCCAACACAGAAGGATATCCACTTGTTCTCCTAAAGGCCATATCCCCAGCACAGGAGCCTTTGTTGAATAAATTAAGACACCAAGTGATATTACAGTTCCAAGAGCTGTTTCTTTCCTAGAAGAGGGGTCATTTTGCTGCTAACACACATTTCTAAGCTGCTTGGCAGCTACTTTTTTCTACAGTTGTGTAGTGGGAGTGTCAGGGAGGAAAAAACATGGATAAAGTCAACAAGAAAAGAGAGAGTTGCAAAATCCTCATTTAAAAAATACTATGTATGAATGTTTAACAAATAAATAAAACTGGAAAATTTTACACAATGGTACTAAGAGTTATCTCTGGCTCAGCGCCTGTGGCTCAAGTGGCTAAGGCACCAGCCACATACACCTAAGGTAGCAGGTTTGAATCCAGCCCGGGTCTGCCAAACAACAATGACGGCTGCAACCAAAAAAAAAAAAAAAAAAATAGCCGGGCGTTGTGGCGGGTGCCTGTGGTCCCAGGTACTTGGGAGGCAAAGGCAGGAGACTCGCTGGAGCCCAGGAGTTGGAGGTTGCTGTGAGCTGTGATGCCACGACACTCTACCCAGGGGGACAGCTTGAGGCTCTGTCTCAAAAAAAAAAAAAGAGCTATCTCTGAATGGCAACCCTGTAAGTTTGTTTTCCTTTTTTTAACCTATTTTCTATAATGAACATTTACTGCTTTCTTAACAAAAATCCAATCTTTATTCAACAAACATTTATTGTACATCTACTATGAGCTAGATACTATTCTAAAAATCATTATCATTATACATGAGAATTACAAAAGTAGTTAAAAGTAAAAATAAGTAATAAGGTATTTTATTAAAATAACCCTGAATTGTGCTACTTAGTGATAACTGCTACTAAATGTGGTATATAGGTTTCTAGCCATTTTTCCCAATCTATATACATAAACTTTTTATTATGCTTTATACTACCCTATAACTGTGTTTTTTAATGAAATATTATTTAAAGGGTAAAAAACAATTGAGCAGAGTTTGTTATATGAAGCAATTCAAACCCTAATTCTAGGGCTTTTTCTCTTTGCTGGCCTAAAGGGTACTAGTTTTCAGGGGAAATCATTTTGGAGTTTATAGAAATATGTCATTTGTTCATTCAACAAATACCCTGAGCTCTGCATTCTAGGCGCTGGGCTGAGTCAGAAAGTTTACTGTGGTTATTGGAGAGGAGCAAAAAGTTGTCTATGTGCTAGAATGGTTTGGATTAGGGATTATAATTTGTCTTTTGTGAAATTACTAAGCCAGAATTGAATATAGAAAGAAAACATGATTCTCAGACAAGCCAAGCAACAATCTTATGTAATTCTCATAAGCAAAGAAACAGATTTTTGGTAGGCAAAGAAACAGGAGGGAGCAGAAATTCCACTGAGGGCTCACTGTGACTCAGAAGAGGAAATATGCCTGCACCAGGCAATTTCCTGCTGCAACCAGACCTTATGCTATAATTCTACCTAACATAAAACCAATGTAGCTTCTTAAAAGTTTCATTTAAAAAATAGATTAACAGGCTCGGCGCCTGTGGCTCAAGCGGCTAAGGCGCCAGCCACATACACCTAAGGTGGCGGGTTTGAAACCAGCCCGGGCCCGCCAAACAACAATGATGGCTGCAACCAAAAAATAGCCAGGAGTTGTGGTGGGCGCCCGTGGCCCCAGCTACTTGGGAGGCGGAAGCAGGAGACTCGCTTGAGCCCAGGAGTTGGAGGTTGCTGTGAGCAGTGAAGCCACAGCACTCTACCTAGGGGGACAGCTTGAGGCTCTGTCTCAAAAAAAACGAAAAATAGATTAACATATATCTAACAAAAATTAACAGATATGAGCACATTAATCCCTTTTAATAAATTTTATTTTTCTAGCTTGATTTTTTTTCCTCCACTTTCAGTCCCAACAGGAGCCCATATTAATAATTTAATATGATGCCTTCCATTTCCCCCCCAGATTCATATAATCATATACATAAATGAAATTTTAAATATATTCTTCATCTTGCTTTTCTTAACAAGTGCTTGTAGAAACCCCTCTAAGTCATGTGGACATACTCTAATGGTTACACAGGAGTCTATGGTGTGGATGTATCTTAATTCATTGGATGACTCCCTAACTAGTAGATATTCTCTTGATTTCCAGCATTTTCCCCATGAGCAATGTTGTTCAGAGACACTTAGCCTCCGAACTGGTGTGCTCATTCCTTTGGGAAACTGAACTCCCCAGGAACTCTGAAAGGCAGCCTCTACATAACCTAAACTCAGGAATTTTAGTATTTTCAATATCACTGTACACTGGGTGCAGAACAAAATCTTGATATGGTGCTATTACTACCATCTTAACCAAAGACATTATCATCTCTGTATAGATACTGCAATAGCCTCTTAATTTCTCTCCATATTACCTTTCTGGTCCTATTCTAATTCATCCTGCAAACAAAAATCACAGGAATCTTTTAAAAGCAAATTTGATCATATCATTTCCTTACTTAAAACCTTCAGTGGTTCCTAATTATACTTAGAATGAAATCCAAGTTTTACCAGCTCTCTCAAGACGAGGCACGCTCTAATCCTGCTTACCTCACCAATACCATCTCATATACCTACCTCCCTTGATTATCATACCACAGCCACCCTGACTTCAATTACTGCCAAAATTTTCCTTTTCAGGGCCTGCATACTTGGCTATTCCCTCTGCTGAATTCCCAGTCTTCTATATCTCCTCCTCAGGGAGGCTCTGACCACCAGCCTAGACTAGGATCCTCTGTTATTCCCTTTCACAGGGACCTCTTTCTTCCCAGCAGTTGCTGCAGTCTGATGTGCTTTTGTTTAAGTTTCTGGTCTTTTGTCTGCCTTCCCTCCAGAAGGACAGCTCTGTGATGGCAAGGATGGAATCTGCCTTGTCCTTAGCTAAATCTGACACATGAGCATGGCACTTGGTAATGTAAGAGCTCTATGAATGAGTGAGTGGCAGAAAACTGCTCTTTCTCTAATTCTTAGGGCACTGACTATAATGTAAGAGACATTCAGTAAACCTCTGCTGAGTGACAGACTAGATAAATTTCTGTATGCTTGGATTTGTATAACCAGTACCTACAAAGTCCCCTTTGTTAATTACAACTATTAAGTTTTTTTTATTTAGTGATTTGCTGGTCCAGTGCAAAGGAGTGAAGAATCTTTTAGTTTTTACTTTAATTTTTTTATACAGTTTGATTTTTTTATAATTAACATGTAATAAATCAATAATAAATATTTCCTTAAACTGTTACATTTCAAAAGACTTTCTGAAATTAGTTCAAGAGCTCGTTCTACTAGCAAAAGGCTTAATGAGTTAAATACCTAGAAATTCTCTTGCTTTTGCTAAGCTGGCTTTTGCTAAGGTGTAGTATTTGCTTTTTAAAGTAAATAAAAATTATAAAAAACAAGTGAACAATCAAAAAAATTCTATGAGGTAGACTTAGCAAGACATTAAGCTTTTAGTGGGATACACAGTAAGCAAGTCATCAGGCCTTCTTGGTACACGTCATTCTTGACCCCGCAAAACTCTACATGCCATGGGATCTTAAAAACTTCCCCCTGACCTGTAGAAGCCTCCCTTTGCTATCTCAGAATCCTGCTTTTATTTATCTCTCAACACATGAAAGTTGCCTTCTTCATTTATGTTTCTTCAAAATAGAAATGTCTTCAAAATTCTGGATTATTCAAAAGTAACACATACTGATTGTCTAGAATTTCAATATTACAAGTTAAAAATGAAAGTGTCTATTTAATCTAACCATTCCCTAGAGATAAACACTTTAACAATTTATGTTTAATACATATAGTAAATGTATTTGTAAAATAGTAAAATATATGCCTGTATTTTTACTTTAATGTGATGATACTAGATACAATGTTCAATAATCCTGTTTTGTAAACTATTACTTAGTAATCATACAACAGAGGTAAGTTTCCATATAAATTCACCTCACTCATTTAATGACTATAATAGATTCTTTGTATAGATATATCATAATTTACTTACTCTCCTATTCATAAGTATATAGGCTTTCTAATATTTCACTAGTATAAATAATGCTACAGGGTGCTCGCATCTTTGGTCAGAAGGTAACTATATCTTATGAGAGCAGACATTCACTAAAAGACATGGTCAAAAATGTCCATATACCAATTCATATTAGTCTAAAGCTGGAAACAACCCAAATTTCCACCAACTGTAGAGAAGATACATTTTGGTGTATTCCAACAAAGAAATAAAACCCTGCAGTGAAAGAATAAGTAACTATTACATGCTACAACATAGAGAACTCTCAGATGATATTGAGTAAAAGAAGCCAAATGCAAAAGAATACACACCACACGATTCCAAATACTAGCAATACTAATCTATGTTGAAAGGTGTCTGAGTAGTGGTTACCTTTGCAGGAAAATTATCAGAGAGGAAGGAGACAAGGGAGACTTTTGGGATGCTGGAACTCTTTTATGTCGTTATTTAGTTAATGAACTCATAGGTGTATACCTTAAAAATTATTAAGCTATGCCCTTAAAATGTATACATTTTACTGTAGGTATGTTAGACTTCAATTTTAAAAGCATAAATGAACACATTTTAAATATCTATATATATCTTGTCAGATTGTCTTTCAAAAAGATTGGATCACTTTACAACTATTGAAGATAGCCTTTTTTGTTTTTTTACCCTAGAGTATGGAGTATGTTCTATTTTCCATGAGTCCCACAAATGGCCATCTGTATGCCCCCTAAAAAGGGCTATTCATTTACTCCAGAATATGGAAAGTTTTTCTTTCCAGACCTCTTTAGCCATCTCTTCATCTTCTATCTTCCTAAAGCCTCTATTTTCCTGTACTATAGAAAACCAAGTTTATGAATCAAAACCTCAACCATGAGTCACTTCCAAAACCAAAATATACAAACAATTTTTTAAAA